GATAACACGTGTACATTATATATTGAACAATTTTTTTCCTTCCTATTTATGACAGTTATAGTCTTCTTCTTTTATTCAACTCGTTAAAGTTCATTTTAATAAATGCCACGTAATAAAATTTCTGACAATGTCGAAGGACGTATCCCGCAACTATTACACCAAAGATACGCCCAGCCTCGAGTTGTGATCATTTTGAAGCTTAGTAGACTCAACCTACTGTGTCAAATGTCAAGCGAAAGATCGGGCGTCAGCGAAATTCTGAATCCAAAAATTAATTTTTTTCAAAAAAAACCGTGCCAAATCACGTCTATAATGACGAAGGTCATTAAGAAAGTTGGCGTTGAAGATTCATCGACTCGCTATTTTATTGACAAGGTTTTGAAACTATTTTTAACACGACACGTTGCATGTTTATTTCCAAAAACATAAAAAATAAAGGGACTTTTTCATTAAGACTCGACACCAAGCTATACTTCCAAAAGAACAACTGGTTTTTTGAATGGAAATAAAATTTATTATTTTAAGCAAGGGGAAAGGATGCCTAGCAGTCCTGATGACGCACCAATGGGTTATTCAATATAGGGATATTAAGAACAACTTAATAGAACACATATTAATTCTCTTGGTGAACTTTACAAAAAGCTTCTGCGTGAGAGGAGAAAAATGAGTCAAACGTATATCAATAAAGTATTAGCTTCCTGGTCAAAGAGAGTTTTAATGATATGTAAGGCTCGAGGTTCTCATATTGAACATCGTTTATAACTGCACTTTTTTGTGTTTATATATGCGAAAAATAAAACTATTAAAAATCATGTCAAGAGCCCTAAAAAATTTTTCTTCATAGTTGTTGAGATTCATAAATTTTTTGGGCTAGAGCTAGAGAAAGTAAAAAGCAAATTATATGACTTGATAGAGCAGCCGATGCTCTATCGAACTGTGTTAAAATAAGAACTTTTCAGTGTCTTGCATAAATACAGGAAACTATACAAAACTATTATAAATAACGTAATCAACCTGTACAATTTGACTCTAATATGAATGAAAGATTGTATAAATCACAAGAAAATGTAAATCATTAACTTTTTAATGAAATATTTTGAGCTAAAGCCATAACTTTTTCAAAGTTTGTCGTTGTTGGTCCATTAAGTAAATTTAAAATACGTGTTTCTCGACGAGTTTGCTTTCGTCTTCTTGCTTGTCTAGCACCAGCATCTGCTTGAATAATTTGAGCATCGACAAACGATTGTTCCTTTTTTAATCCTTTTAAAAATTTCCAAAAATTTGGATGACTACAGTTCATTAACGATGAAAATCTGTTATTCCAACCTTCTACAACGTTGTTTGTTCTATGTTGACCTTGTAAAGTATTTGTATTAACATTCCACAATGGTATATCAAATTTTGGTATTTTTCTTGGTCTTGATAAGCGACTTTTAACACCAATATAATTTTCTTCAAAGTAAGTTAATACAGGTTCACCTTCAACTGAAAATTGAGCTTTAATTTCATCAAATGTTGGAATAACATTAGTAATTGGCAAAAATGCTAATGCTGGTAAACGTCGAATTTGTTGTGCAAAACTTTCATTTTCATCATACAATGTTTTTAAACCAAATCGTGTAACAGAACGATAAATGTTCTGACATAGATGGAAGAAACATCCATATAAATTTGATGTTGGAAATAAATTTCTAATTGCTTTCATACTTGTACATTCCAAATCGATCATTACATTTGGTGGATCACAATTTGGTGCCAAATTTTTAATTTCTTGTAACATTTCTTTATATAAACGTTGTTTCTTGCCTAAGAAAAATACAGACGCAACGATAAAAAAGTTAAAAAAAAAGATATGCTACAAGATATTTACCAGGTAACAATACATAAACTGCTGGTAAGATATGCTTTAAGTATATAACATGAATTGTATAAAGTTGAAAGTACAATTCGGGAACTACGCTAAATGTTCCATCTAAATAGATATAATTTGCATTTTCTAACATTTGTAATTGTTTCTTGGTTGAAAATATTAACATGCATTGATCAATTGGATCGGAATCGAATTGTAAAAATGTTCGATTACGAGCTGTTCTTATAAATAGTGGATTAATAACAAGTGAATTACGATCTGTTGGTAATGGTAATGAATTTTGGTGTTTTTGACGAATTCGTTGAACAGTTCGTTTAAGATTTTGTAAATTTGGTAATGATGTGATAGCATGATCAGATAATTTAGATACACCATCAGCTACAATATCATGTGTTGTATGACCAGTTTGTTTAGCTGTATTATTCATTTTTATGCGTGCTGCAATTACTTGACCAGCTGAATGAACTGGTTCATGATTATGATCACCTACTGTTTGTATAACCTGACCATTCATTGTGTGAAGTCGACCACGACATTGACCATGACGATAATTACGGCAGCACCATATTATCTTGTTAGATGATTCTTTATTAATAATATATAAGTAACCTTGATGTTCAAATATTGGTTTTCCTTTAATAGTTTCCATCATGTAATAAATAGATAGATATTTCACACTACCAAAAAAATGTTGATATAATTTCTTGCCGATAAAACGTTGCGAAGTGAAGTGGAAAAAAATATATTGTCAAAGCATATTTACATATTTATATATTCAACTAGTTAAGAATATTTATTGGATTATCTTCTATTGAAATTTAATTAATTAGTTATGGTGTAAAAACATGAGATCAAATAATTAATTTACAGAAAGTATAGCAAAGAAAAGAACACAGTCATTCAATTATTTTTATCTAGATAATGTTTTCTTTTTTAATGTATAATATTTCTCTAGCTTAATTGTTCTGTGTTCTTCGATGCATTTTTATCTGTATGATTGTACTTCTTTGAACTGTGATGACAATTCGGTAAAATTGGCTATAATTTTAAAACTAATTTGAGAATTTCTTAGTATCTTGAAATTCTGTGTGAATTTATAATCGTCGTATGCTCTTTGTCATTTCATTCGTTTTTAAGTCTTTAACAATTATCGTTAACTTGTCAACAAAAAAGGCGTAGCTCAATAGTAAGTGACATTGGGGAGCAAGTATCATTGAAGAGCAAGTGTTCGGGGAGCAAGTGTCAGTGGGGAGCCAGTGTCCGGAGAGCAACTGTCGGTGAGGAGCAAGTGTCGCGAGAGCAAATGTCCGGGGAGCAACTGTCTAGGGAGCACTAGTCGTGTTACCGTCGCAAATATATTGCTGTCTTTAATTCTCTATCAATATTATTACTATTGTCACTCGTTCTATTCGTAATCATCTTTGAGCCAACAGCAATGTCACTAGTCTCGATTTCATTATGACATTATCTGTTACCATTCTTGGCTCTCGGACATATTTTACATAAAATGTATTTTCCACTAGAAGCTCGTTTTGAGATCGGGTGTGGCTGTGACTGTGGATATTCCTTTCGCTCACACCGACAACCACATCCACACCAGATTTATCCACCGATATATTAAAACTAATAAAATTTGTTATCAAAGTAAACTGTGTGACGACAAGTTTTATTTTGTTTTAAGATAGAATATGAATAACATATGATTGATTCATATGTAAGAATTAATACCAAATGATTTCTATTTGAATGACTGATTCAAGTAACAGGTTAAGAATTACAACTGATAATATTCTATATTATAATGCATAACTGAATACTTATCAGAGATAAGATTAATTCGATTTTTTTTAGAAACCGAACTAATTTCATCTTTGATATTTATATTCTTTTATAATTTCAAAGGAAATGACTGAGTCGTTTCAATTTTCAGGACATTTATTTTTGATTAGAATCACAATTTCAATATTGTAATTATGAATATTATGAAAACTGTCATGGACATTTTGATCGATATCTAAATCATTAATTTACGACCGTAGAATGTCTAAATCAATATTAACGCACACACGCATGTTATAATATTGATTAATTTGATATTTTAGTCAAGTATAGAAAAAGAAACGACGCACGACATATTTGATTCGTTTCAATTTTTTTCTTCAATATATTTTGTAAACAAAATAAAATAAAATAAGCAGTGAAGTAATGTTATTTTTGTTTCAAAATGATTCCATGTTGAAATAATTTAAATCAATATTTAGATATTTTAATATTTTAAAATAACTAATTTCAAACTTAGATTTATATTTTCTGGTAAACTATTATAAATAAAGTCATAATCGATCTATTTGATAAACATAAGAATGATTTAAATTAATTGAACAGAAAAAGAAAACAATAAAAGTAAAGAAAGATTTGAGACCGAGGTGGTTCACGTGATAAAAATATCCTTTCTACGCCAAAGAGATCGAAAAGTTTGAGTTGAAATTAGATTGATGATGTTCACCATAATAATACGACTGTAATAATATTCAGAAAAAACCCTCTGATGTATAATATGTATCGTTGTCAAATGTAAAATATTTTCTTTTCTTAGTGTTATACTTTTATAGATTTTTTTAGAGCAGAGTGACATAAATTCTACCATTTTGAAATTCAAAACGTATTGAGTCCTTCATAAGGACATAGAAGAATGATAAAAATAAAATAATTTTATATAAAAAAAATGAAACTGCAAATATGAAAAAAAAATATATATCTGATTGATGAAATCTTGCTTGAAGAAAAAAAAAGCAAAAAGCCAATAGATTCAAACAGAAAACATGCTGTTATTTTCTTATATCACTGTAATTAACTTGTACATCATTATGTAGTTTTTTTTGTACTTAAATGTCTGCAGGACATTTATAAAATGTGTTTTATTTTTATTATATAATTTCTTTTATTTTGTTTATTTGACTTTTTAAATATTGAGTTACCAGCTCTGCTTATTTATTATGATTAAACGTTATGATAAAATTTTGTTCTCTAGTTGTCACTCTCAAGACTCATTGATGGATGACAACAAGTGATTCGTTAGTAGTCGATATTATAAAGATAATGTTTTTTTTTTCCTTCTTTATTCGGTTAAAAATATACATCGTATCAACATATGTACGTAGATAGTCACTATGCAGAGAGTTCAAAAATCAGTGCCTGTTCATCCTACTCATCAATCTGATGATATTATTGAGCAACCATCCATAGATCAACGAAGATATTTAGAACCTCCATTGGAGTATGCAAATATAAATAAAAGCATTTTTTTTTCTTAAGTTTTAATTTTTAGGAAAAGAAAATCATTGTCAATAAAACAATCACAAGGAGGAGGTTCGAAGCGTAATAGTGCTTATATTTCGTAAGTATTTGCTGATGCTTTTTAACTTGTATGGATCATAGTCACCAAAATCGAAATTAAAATACTTCAAGCAGTATATTAATTAACACCAAAACACATATTATAACAAATATTTAAAAAAAAGTATTCATTTTTAATTTTTAATCGTTTGTTTGTTTTTTTTTCATTTTAATCAAAAAAATAGTGATCTTATCAATGTTGACAGTTTGCTCAATATTCGAGAAATACAATCTATACAACGTAAACTTCATAATACTTCATCATTTGAAGATCATATTATAATAAATGTATGTGGTGATCGTTATGAAACTCATCGTACAACACTTGAGCGTTATCCAGATACATTACTTGGTAATCGTAAACGACGCAAATATTATTATGATAAAACACGTAATGAATATTTTTTTGATCGTAATCGATCATGTTTTGAAGCCATACTTTATTATTATCAATCACATGGTCGATTAAGACGGCCAAATTATGTTCCAATTGATACATTTCTTGAAGAAATTAATTTTTTTCAATTAGGTCAAGAAGCTCTTAATCAAATACGAAAAGATGAAAATATTAAAGAAGTTAAAAAAGTTCCGTTACCAAAAAATCGTTTTCGAAAATATTTATGGGCAACTATGGAATATCCTGATTATTCAATTATAGCTAAAATTGTTAGTATTTTATCATTACTTATGATTCTTATTTCAACTATTACTCTTGCTATTGAATCATTACCACAATATACAAATCTTGAGCAATCAGCTTGTTATAATTCACCTATTAATGATTCAAATAATACAAATGAAACAGCACAAGTTTTGTATGATAGTGAAGATACTTGCAATGATTATCTTAAATCATCGTTTTTTATTATTCAAAGTGTATGTATTGGATTTTTTACAATTGAACTTATACTTCGCATAATAAGCGCACCATCATTTATTGATTTTGTAAAAGATATAATGAATTGGATTGATATTGTGGCTGTTGTACCATATGTTATTGCACTTGGTATTTACTTAGCTGATCAATATCGTTCAATCAACACATCAACAGCTGATAGTCTTCGTTTTTTACGTATTCTTCGTTTTGCACGTGTTCTTAAATTTTATCGTGTATTCAAAAATATAAAATCTTTACGTGCATTTGGATCAACAATTCGAGAATCAATAGTAGATTTTTTGTTCTTGATTAGTATTTTAACATTATTAAGTTTTCTTTTTGGTGCTGCTGTTTATTTTGCTGAAAATGATGTAAATGGTCAAATATTTGATTCTGTACTTAAAGCAACTTATTGGGGAATTATTACAATTACAGGTGTTGGGTAAGAAAATATCAGAAAAAGAAATTTTTATTTTCGATTCTAAAAAGCAAAAAAAAAAACTTCTTTTTAGATATGGCGATATGACACCTATCACACCAGCTGGACGAATAATAACATGTTTCTGTGCATTATGTGGTGCTGCCACAATTGGTATGCTTGTCTCAATTCTTGTTGATCGATATCAACGTGTTTTTGCTCGAAAATTATATATAAATGAAGATATAATTGATTTTTCGGATTTTTCTGATGATGAAAATAATGATACAGATTCTAGACGTGGTTCAGGTCTATTTCATCGACGTCGTAGCACGAAAGAAACTGAAGATTCTAGACGTGCTTCAGATCTATATCATCGACGTCGTAGTACGAAACAAAGTGAAGATTTTAAACATGGTACAAGTCTATTTCATCGACGTCGTAGTACGAAACAAAGTGAAGATCCAAATACAAATACTAGACATAGTTCAATATCTGAAAAAAATAATAAACATGCAATACCTATAATCAATATTTCATCAGCACCGGATATAGAAGATATCGATGAAGATTCAATGAATGAACGTAATAATGGTGTTCATTTTATTATTGGTTATGTTGATAATGAAAAACATGAAAAATCACGTGGTTTATTAGAAACAATAAGTTCTGTTGTTGCTCAAAAACGAACTTCTGGTGATGATATAGAAATGCGTATCATATCTGATGACCAACAATCATCAAGTTCAAATGCTGCTAAATTTAGTATTTCCATGTCTTCCGATGAAGCTACAGATGATGATGACGACGATGATGATGATGACAGACTAACCCAAATTACTGCTGATCATTGAAACACAAAAAAACGTACTAAAAAAATTCAACGTGTACCATTACCAAAAAATAAAAAACAATTTGATGATGCTGAAAGAAATCTATAATTTGTTTAATAAATAAATGC